TTTTTTTTTGAGACAGAATTTCACTCTTAACTGCTCAGGCTAGAGTATAATGGCGTGATCTCAGCTCACCACAACCTCCGCCTCCCGGGTTCAAGCCATCCTCCTGCCTCAGCCTCCCAATTAGCTGGGATTACAGACATGCGCCACCATGCCCGGCTAATTTTTGTATTCTTAGTAGAGACAGGGTTTCACCATGTTAGCCAAGATGGTCTCGATCTCTTGACCTTGTGATCCGCCCACCTCGGCCTCCCAAAGTGCTGGGATTACAGGCTTGAGCCACCGCGCCCGGCCTCTTTCTCAGTGCCTTTGCCCTGGGGTGGAAGAGAGAAATGAATGGGGAAGAGGCAGAAGCAGGCTCTTCTAGTTTTTGTTTTTTTTTGAGACGGTCTTGCTCTGTTGCCAGGCTGGAGCGCAGTGACGAGGTCTTGGCTCAGGGCAATTTCTGCCTCGGTTCAAGCGATTCTCCTGCATCAGCTTCACTGTGTTAGCCAGGATGGTCTTGATCTCCTGACCTCATGATCAGCCTGCCTCAGCCTCCCAAAGTGCTGGGATTACCGGTATGAGCCACCACACCCAGCCTAGTTCATTTTTTTTTTTAAGATGTTGAAACAAATCTGACAAAATACAATTGTGTTCATTTCAGTGGCAGGTACATGGCTGTTTGTTATTTTATCCCTTGCAGGTGTCTGTATTATTTTTTCCCTGAGATGCAGTCTCGCTCTGTAGCCCAGGCTGCAGTGCAGTGGTGCGATCTCGGCTCATTGCAACCTCCACCTCCTAGGTTCAAGCAGTTCTCCTGCCTCAGCCTCTCAAGTAGCTAGGATGCCCAGCTAATTTTTGTGTTTTTAGTAGAGATAGGGTTTCACCATGTTGGCCAGGCTGGTCTTGAACTCCTGACCTTGTGATCCGCCTACCTCCACCTCCCAAACTGCTAAGATTACAGGCATGAGCCACCGCGCCCAGCTGTAATTTAGTTTATTTATTTTTATTTTTTTGAGAGGGAGTCTTGCTCTGTAGCCAAGGCTGGAGTGCAGTGGCATGATCTTGGCTCACTGCAGCCTCTGCCTCCTAGGTTCCAGCTGAAGCCATTCTCCCACATCAGCCTTGGCTTCCCAAGTAGCTGAGACTACAGGCGTGCACCATCACGCCCGGCTAATTTTTGTATTTTTACTAGAAATGGGTTTTCACCACATTGGTCAGGCCAGTCTTGAACTCCTGACCTTGTGATCTGCCCACCTTGGTCTCCCAAAATGTTGGGATTACAGGTGAGAGCCACTGCACCTGGCCCCAGTTTGTATTTTTTTTTTTTTTTTTTTTGGAGACAGAGTCTTGCTCCGTTACCCACCTGGAGTGCAGTGGCACGATCTTGGCTCACTGCAACCTCTGCCACCCAGGGTTCAAGCGATTCCCCTGCCTCAGCCTCTCTAGTAGCTGGGACTACAGGCATGCGACACCACGCCCAGCTAATTTTTGCATTTTTGTAGAGATGGGGTTTCACCATGTTGGCCAGGATGGTCTAGATCTCCTGACTCCGTAATCCACCTGCCTCGGCCTCCCAGCCTGTAGTTTTAAAAATATACAACTTGGGGGCCGGGCGCGGTGGCTCAAGCCTGTAATCCCAGCACTTTGGGAGGCCGAGGCGGGTGGATCACGAGGTCAAGAGATCGAGACCATCCTGGTCAACATGGTGAAACCCCGTCTCTACTAAA